GTGAGCTGTATTAGGTCTGAGCCAGTCTTGGTTTCCACAGTTCCCCCTGCAACTAGTGACTAGAAGCCCAGTCAGCTTCCCTCAAGATGGCAGTGATGCTGGTTTGGGGGAAGGGGAAGTAGTGGGTGGGTGAGGAGAACTGCCCAGAGGAACCAGACCAGTACTGTCACTTATTAGCTGGGGAAAGCTCCAGACACCACTGCTACCAAATAGGTATTCTTGCTTTTGTTAGTTACAAGTATGGAACATTTCTCTTACCTCTGAGATGGTGCTAGCTCTGGAGCCCAAATGTCAGATTACACTTGTGGCTGCTTCTAGAAACTTCCGATATTTATCTCATTTCTATGGAAAACGCAAGAAAGCTGGAAATTTGGGGAATAGCTTGTCTGTCCCAACAAAACCCTCCCCCTAAGTCACTTGTTCTCTAAAGGTGCTAACAATACAGGGCAGGGGGATGCCTTTCAAGATTCAAGAATTGAGGGGTTGGGGATTTAGCTCAGTGGAAGAGCGCTTGCCTGGCAAGTGTAAGGCCCTGAGTTCGGTCCCCAGCACCGGGGGGAAAAAAAAAAAAAAAAAAAAGCAAAGATTCAAGAATTGAGCTGGGTGAAGTAACATGGCTGCAGTGCTGGCACTTGGCACTGGCTGAGGCAGGGCCATCACTTTGAGTGCATGAGTTCATGACCAGCCTAGGAACGTGGTAAGGCCTCATCTCAAAAAACAAAACAAAACAAAAATCAAAGCAAAACAAACAAAACAACACCCAAAATTGGTAAGTACTTAGAAGGAAGTTCAAACAGGAGAATCTTTGAGAACAAGTAGCTCAGGGAAGAGAGGGGCGTGCCTGATGAAATGGCAGCAGTCACCCCTGTATCTTTAGAACTTTGAAAAGGAATACAATACATCCCCCAAGGCTTCTGCTGCTCTTCTTTCACATAATAGGAGGCCAAGCCTCGGTATTCAGTGGCTACTTTTTGCTTTTCATGTGTGATCAGCCATTTGCTTTCAGAATAAATGCAGACCAATCAGGTATCCCAGACTTGTAAAAGGCTAGTCTGCAAATAGCAGTTTATACAGAAGGTTAAAAACAATGAAAAAGAACTCAATCAAACATGACTATTAAGCTGCTGTACTGGTACCGTTATTCATACTGACTTAAATCTGCTAAAAGGCAGATTACACTATGCCTCTGACCAAATAAAACTCCATAAATAATGCAAAGACGAAAAGTGATCACTTGTAACAAAAATGTCTGACTTTGCCTCAACCAGTCCAGAAGCAATCATTGGGAACGAGCAAAGCTATTGGTGATTGTATTATTCAATCAGCCCTGAAGTCACAGGCTTTAGTTAGTCCAAACCTTTGAGCTTTCTCACTTAAATTGACTTAAGATAAAATACAGGATGAGGGAATTTGCTTCATGCATATGAACTCGGACGGTGCAATCCCCTGGCCAATTTTCCTATTTCTAAGCCCACTCTAGGAATTGGTCTAGAAATGTTGAAAGGGTCCTGAACTGCTTCTTATACAGCCCTGGGTAAGTAAGATTATAATGACAGGGAAAGGCTTTTAAGGAAGGCTCTGTGGGGTAAAGAGAATTAGAGAAAGCCAGTTTTCATCTACGAGCTTGCACAACACAAGGGAAAACTGAATAGGAGCTAGGATCTAGGAGTGCCTTGAAGGAAGTCTATTTTCTCTGCTTGGAAGAGCGCTTGCCTGGCAAGTGTAAGGCCCTGAGTTCGGTCCCCAGCACCGGGGGGAAAGAAAGAAAAACAAAAAAAAGCAAGATTCAAGAATTGAGCTGGGTGAAGTAACATGGCTGCAGTGCTGGCACTTGGCACTGGCTGAGGCAGGGCCATCACTTTGAGTGCATGAGTTCATGACCAGCCTAGGAACGTGGTAAGGCCTCATCTCAAAAAACAAAACAAAACAAAAATCAAAGCAAAACAAACAAAACAACACCCAAAATTGGTAAGTACTTAGAAGGAAGTTCAAACAGGAGAATCTTTGAGAACAAGTAGCTCAGGGAAGAGAGGGGCGTGCCTGATGAAATGGCAGCAGTCACCCCTATATCTTTAGAACTTTGAAAAGGAATACAATACATCCCCCAAGGCTTCTGCTGCTCTTCTTTCACATAATAGGAGGCCAAGCCTCGGTATTCAGTGGCTACTTTTTGCTTTTCATGTGTGATCAGCCATTTGCTTTCAGAATAAATGCAGACCAATCAGGTATCCCAGACTTGTAAAAGGCTAGTCTGCAAATAGCAGTTTATACAGAAGGTTAAAAACAATGAAAAAGAACTCAATCAAACATGACTATTAAGCTGCTGTACTGGTACCGTTATTCATACTGACTTAAATCTGCTAAAAGGCAGATTACACTATGCCTCTGACCAAATAAAACTCCATAAATAATGCAAAGACGAAAAGTGATCACTTGTAACAAAAATGTCTGACTTGCCTCAACCAGTCCAGAAGCAATCATTGGGAACGAGCAAAGCTATTGGTGATTGTATTATTCAATCAGCCCTGAAGTCACAGGCTTTAGTTAGTCCAAACCTTTGAGCTTTCTCACTTAAATTGACTTAAGATAAAATACAGGATGAGGGAATTTGCTTCATGCATATGAACTCGGACGGTGCAATCCCCTGGCCAATTTTCCTATTTCTAAGCCCACTCTAGGAATTGGTCTAGAAATGTTGAAAGGGTCCTGAACTGCTTCTTATACAGCCCTGGGTAAGTAAGATTATAATGACAGGGAAAGGCTTTTAAGGAAGGCTCTGTGGGGTAAAGAGAATTAGAGAAAGCCAGTTTTCATCTACGAGCTTGCACAACACAAGGGAAAACTGAATAGGAGCTAGGATCTAGGAGTGCCTTGAAGGAAGTCTATTTTCTCTGCTTGGATACATACAGATATATAGTTCAATAGTTTGATACCTTCAATGATTTTCATATTAAAAATCTACTTTCTCCTCAATAATATCGCACCCATCAAAATAACCCATTATTTGAAATAAAGTGTTTCAGAAAGGGAGAAAGAGGAAACAAAAGGAGATAGGTTCTTAACATTAGGGACAATTTGCCATAAGGGTAGTTAATTCTTAATTTGAAGAGAAGATATGTTCATAATTCAGAAGGGCCAGGAACAGAAGAAAGTTCTATTTAAACTTTTACAGGACAGGCCGGGTGCCAGCGGCTCACATCTGTAATCCTAGCTACTCAGGAGACAGAGATCAGGAAGCAGGAAGATCATGGTTCAAAGCCAGCCCTGGCAAATAGTTTGTGAGGCCCTATCTTGAAAAACCCTTCACAAAAATAGGGCTGGTGGAGTGGCTCAAGGTAAAGACCCTGAGTTCAAGGCCCACCACCACAAAAAAAACAAAAACAAAAAAACATTTCAAGACTAGCACAGTGGTCCATGTCTGTAATCCCAGCTACTCTGGAGGACTGAAATCGGAGTCATACCCCAGGCAAAAATGAGAGACCCTTTCTGAAAACTAACTAAACTAACTAAAGCAAAAAGGCCGGAGGCAAGGTTAAGTGATGGAGGGCCTGCCTAGCAAGCATGAGGCCCTAAATTCAAACCTCAGTACCGCCAAAAAAATCCCAAACAAAAACAAAATCCCCCAAAAACCTTGGCACTGGGTGTTAAGGGAGTGCTATGCAACACACAGAAACAAAGTCAGAATTACACCTTAATTGTAGACAAGGGACAATTTATAGGCATTCTAAATGAAATTTAGAAATAACCCATTTTTCCTGACAACCCAGTCAGGGCTCAAAAATAACTGGTTGAGGCAGAGGAGTGATTCAAAAAGTGCAATATTGTAGCAGTTTAAAGTAGAAAAGGAATGCTTCTATTGCTAGGTCAGTACAGAAAAAGGATTTCTCTCTCTGACCACCACATACACTCCTATCTCCAAAATCCTTCCCCACCTCTACAGCCCTTCCAATTCTTTGTTCTAGCCAAAGGTAGAAGCTGGCAGAACAATGCTCCCTTTCACTACTGGCCAGTTAACAGAGCATGCAGATATTTGAAATTACTTAGTTTTACCGAAAGCAACTGCTCTCACTATAACTTGACAAAGTATTCCAAGCTATTATTAAGAAGCAAACAAAAGGAAACCCATAAACTTTGACATTCCTTTGTAACCACTACTTCACCAAGATAAATGGAGGTTGCTACAAACTAGCTTTTACATATGACAAAGCCAGAGAAGCTCCTGTAAAAATCTGCCGATCCTAGGTGAGAACTACCCTGAGTGACATTTTTTGTTCTAATGGGAAAGGTGGCTTCATTCTGGACAAGGCACATGTACACAAGTGAACCAAACATGCTCCATATTCAAGTAGGCATTACCAAATTGCATTCAAGGGCCTCAAATTGTTTGTGATCATCCAAACCTTTCATTTGGTACTTACACACCAGAATGACGGCTTTTATTTAGCACAGAAATACTTAAGACTGCTGTTGTGAAAGATATACATTAGACCAAAAATACACATTATGACCAAATAAATGGTAATAAGCTGGCTGGCTGCTTTCTCTTCCTCTCTGAGAAGCAAATAAAAACTGGGCTTTCAGGATCTTGCAACCGACCCATATTAAATAGTATAGTTAATGCCAAATCAAAAACTGATGATTTAGGATGGGATGTAACTTAATGGGAAAGCATTTGACTAGCATGTGCAAGGCCTTGGGTCTGATTCCCAAAAAACAAATCAACAATAAAAAAACCCCATACACACATACAGAAACCAAAAACTGAATTCCCACCTGCCCACTATTACTGAGACTACAGGGTGATTTTAGGTTAGAGTTCAATTCTCTTTTTCCCACAACTGTTAACAGTCAAACTTACAAGGTCAAGGATGCTTATTAGCATACATGAAGCCAGGAGTTGAAAATGCAGAACTTTCAGAGAGTTTTTTAGCTTGTATCACAGGTAAGTTCTAAGATGGAAGAGCAGTGACACTGAGAGATAAGACAAGGTGAACAAGTTGAAAACCAAAAGCAGTGGACATTTATTCCTCAATTTTTGTGCAAGAGTGTAAAGATGCATTTTTAAGAACTTGATGGCTAGAGAGTATCAGCCATGGCCTTCAGGTTGGCCTGGTTTACAATTAGATTAGGAAAAGAAGGGAGGAAAAAAGGTAACTTGTCTAGTTCACATGATTAATGTTTCTGGCAAACACAGTTGCTTACAAGTTTTAAACTACATTTTACTAAAGTCAAGGGAGGACTTCAAAAAGCCACATACAGTACAATTTAAAATTGGATGAACATCCTGCAAATGTTAGTGCAAAGTAATTATGCAGACTCTCCAGTACAAGATTGTGCTCATGTTTCCCAGGTTTGGTCAAAGTCGCTCATTTAAAATTACAATCACAGAGACTTAACTTACCAAATAGCAAATGTCTTTGTGTTTTATGTCCTATGTACCAAGGGAATGTCACAAGATTTTGGTGAAATGCAGCTTAGTTTCATCAACAAGGCAAATTTCTTACTAAGTTTAACAGTCATGTTCTTGGAGTGCTGCACAGGTAAGTTTCATAAAAATGCCTTTAACTTTATGCCTCTATCTTCTTCAATAAAATTATTCTCCAGATATCTTTTTTTACTCTGTAAACTGGAATTGTTTTCACGATTTTGAAATGCAACCACTATAAATGAAAATATTTCAGGGGTGAGGAAAATCCACCACTAATCTCAGCTAGACAAAGTTCTTACAATCAAAAAGCCTATTCACACAAAATTATATGTAATGACTGTAGTAATCAGTTTATTACACAGATTAACCATTCTTCAACGTACAAGCTCCAGAGGAGCAATTGGGTCTTTAAATATACACAAGTATTTCCATCAAATGAATTTTCACCCTTACATCCAAATAGACCTAAGCAGTTAAAAACATAAGAAAAATAAGAGCTATTAGCTATGTATTAACTGAGAAACCACATATAAACCAAAGAATATGGAGAGAAAGGGGATGAAAGGAGGAAGGTTGAAGGGGCAGGGAGATGAGAAAGAGTTGGGAACAAAGCCCATCATACTTTATGTACTAATAGCTCCAATCCATTTAAATGTTGACCAGTTAAAACTTAGACCTTAAAATACAGGATGTGGGTGGTTGGATGTGGTTGGTCATAACTTTCATCTAAGTTGTAGGTCCTTCAAATAAAGTGAATACAGAAACAGATTCATGTTCTTCACACCTTGCTGTTCATAACTGTTTTGGGTTTAAATGGATTCCACTTAAAAACAATCTCCTACAGGTCAGTGGAGCTTTCTCCCCAATCCAAACACACACCATGAACCCACCACCCCTCACACCTTGCAGTAATCCAAATTTAAGTCAATAATGAAAGCTTTTAGTCTCACACCTAGGTTATGCCTGAAGAACTGGCTTGTCACACACACACTTCTCTGCTAGGAGGCAATGTTGGTACAGAAGTATTTCTAGTTTGTTGTTCCAAGTATGTACAATACGCAGCACTGCTGTATCAGGTAAACATGTGCACAGGGGAAGATGAGGCGTGGGCTCATAGAAAGCAGTCAAATGGAAATCAAAAAGGACTTTCTCTTTCAGAGTTCCCCTATCTTTATTTGTAGAGGTTATCCAATAATTTCTTTAATTACATCGCATACTTCTGAGTCCATTCTCGAGCTATTCTGTTGTACCTGTACACACAAAGAGAAGCTTTGCTTAACATAGGCAAGGAGTCAGTAAGCAACAGGTTTCATTTATTTTATTCATCTAGTAACTTGAAGGCAATACTTCTAGGACATTCAAGCAAAGTCACCTTTCTACCTCCAATTTCTATTTAGCCTATACTCAAAGACAGTAGGACATAGCTATAATATGGAAAACAATTCCTTATAAATACTACTTACAGAGGATTCTGATTAAATTTTAGTATCTGCTCACATATATCTTATTCTACACTTGATTGATCTTCAACTTTTGATTCATTCATTCGAGGTTGTTGTTTTTTTCTTCTTGAAACAGGGTCTCACTATGTAGCAATCGTTCCACCTTAGCTTCCTGAGTACAGGGATTATAAGTATGCTGGGATCATACTCAGCTATTGAGGTTCTTCTGGGAAGTGGACTTGAACTCAGAGCCTTGTGCTTGCTAGGCAGGCAGTCTATCCTTAAATTATGCTACTAGCCCTTTTTGCTTTAGTAATTTTTGGAAAAGGGTCTTGTGTTTATGCCCATGTAGACTTGGACCACAAATGTCTTAATTACACCTCCCCTGTATCTGGGATGATAGGTGTGAACCACCAGGCCCAGCTTATTGACTGAGTTGACTGAGATGGGATCTTCCTAATTTTTTGCTCAGGTTGGCCTCTAACCTGGATCCTCTTGAGTAGCTACAATTAGTGGCATGAGCCACTACACCCACTTTGAGGTTCTTAAAACTGTAACTCAAAAGCCAAGTGATGGTGGCTCATGCCTATAAACCTAGCTACTCAGAAGAAAGAGATCAGAAGGATCAAGGTTTGAAGCCAGCCTGGGGAAAGTTTGTGAGACCCTATCTCAAAAATACCCAACACAAAACAGTGCTGGTGAAGTGACTCAAGTGGTAGAGCACCTGCTTGGCAAGCATGAAGTCCTGAGTTCAAACCCAGTACCACCAAAACAAATTCTGCATTATGGGTTTTTTTGGGGGACATAGTACTGGGGTTTGAACTCTTGCTTTGTGCACTCTACTGCATCTCCAGTCCATTTTGCTGTGGTTATTTTGGAGATAGGTTCTTAAAAACTCTTTGCTCTACTGGCCTCGAACTGTGATCCTCCTGATCTCAGCCTCCCAAGTAGCTCGGATTACAGGTGTGAGCCACCAGTGCCCACTCAGGACCTTTATTTATATCCTGATCACTTTTTAAGAATTCGTATTTCTAAAGTTCTAAGATATCGAAATTCTACATCAAGTTTTATTTTTGTAAGAAATGTAGAGCTTTCATGTCTAATGGCATTTATTAATTTTCCTCCTTTAGATTATGCCAAATGGTAGAAAATTAGTTCCCCTTTTCCATTAATTTTAAGAAACACATGTAAGATAAATGGGCATGTGATGCAAAAAGCTTTGCGTCAAAAGTCAAATATAAGACAAAAAGCTATTGGAAAAAAGTACTGTAGAGAAAGTTTTTCTAGATAGGATTCATATGAAACAACTAAAAATGAGCTTGGAATCATCTATTTATAATAATACCTGGATAAATACTCCTCTTTCCATCCCCAGGAGAGTATGTTAGGACTTCATTTTATATTCAGCTGTTAGATAAGAAAGACTTGAGACAACATCCCCATCCTACCAAAGAGAGCTTTTCATCTAGAGGTCATACTTACTTTTCTCTATCTGTTTTGTAGATCCGAGCAATCTCAGGCACTAAGGGATCATCTGGATTGGGATCACACAACAGAGAACAGATGGACAAAAGAACTAGGGTAAAAGAAAGTATACATTAGTAGAGAACAAAAACGAAGGGTTGAAAGAAACGAATGCCAACAAATTAGTTCTAAGAATCTATTTAAGGCTGGGGGTGTAGCTCAGTGGTATACAACTTGCCAAAGAAATACAAAACTACTTATACTGTACTGCCTTGCAGTTTTGAAAACTCTACCTAACTTTATATTAACAATAATCATCAAAGATTTTAAGCTTAAACAGATGTCAAATTCAGTCATTAAAAAACTAAAATGAATAGCAGAAAGCTAATGTTAAATGACATTTTGTCTCCCACATAAGAGTATCAGCTCCTTTGTTCAAAGTCTCACATTTTTCTTACGATGTAAGAACAGTAGACATGGCTATTTCTATGCCTGAAGTCCTAAAGAAGCTGCCCAGACATATGAAGTTATTTGTCCAATGGGCTTGGCTAGTAATTAGAATTAGAAAGTGCTGGAGGAGTGGCTCAAGTGAGAGAGCACCTGTCTAGAACGGAATTAGAAAACACAGATCTTGAGTTGGGGGAATAGCTCAGAGAGCAAAAACAGGTCCTCCAACTCCTACACTAAGAACATTTGTCAGAGAACATAAAGTTCAAATTTTAGAAGCCCAACTTCAGGGTAAAATTCCAAAAACAGTAACGCTGGAGTACTCTTAGGCAAAAATGACAACTTGAAATTCAACAATCACTATTTTCTCAACGTCAGGTACTATTTTGATACAACAAATTTGATTTATTTTTAACTAAAAACAATTCAGCCCAAGTAAAGAACTTAAAGGCCAGTAACTTATCCCCAAATAGGATGGCCGCATACTTATTACTGAGGATATAATATAGAACTACGAATGTCTCAAATTTTTTTCAGTGATAATTTAGCTCTCATCTAAGTCATTTCCTCATTGACAATGCAGACAAATCTCCATTGTATAATTTCATCTGTTAATAATTTATCATTAACTTACATATTTCCTTTTTATTTATTTTTTGTGTTACTGGGGTTCAAACTCAGCCTACACCATGAACCATTCCACCAGCCCTATTTTGTGTTGGATTTTTTTTCCAAGATAGGGTTCTCCCAAACTATTTGCCCAGGCTGGCATCAAACCGTGATCCTTCTGATCTCTGCCTCCTGAGTAGCTAGGATTACAGGTGTGAGCCACCAGTGTCTGGCACTTATGAATTTCTTGTTGAGTGCAAAAGAGGGAAACCCAGGTCACTGATCATATTAACCTCAAGAATCCTCTGATGAAATGGGATAAATTCCAATCCTTCTCTTCTAATGCTAACAAAACTCAACTATCTTATTTCTCACAAATATTCTTTACCAAAAGGTGATAACTCTGAGCCCACTTTACTCCAAACACCAAATTCTCTACTAAAATCAAGGGTTTTTGAGAGGTGAAGAAAAACTGACAAGCCCCTTTTCAGTTTGGTTTAAAAAAAAAAAAGCTGTTTTGCTGCCCAACTAACGGTATATATAGGTATGTAAGTATATGTCAGGACAGATATTTTCTGATTCTTCATTCCTGTTGTCCAGAATTCTGGCAGATGGCATTCCTAAAACAGCTTTCCTTCCCATTGCCAGGTGTCATCACCTGATGCCCTCCTCTTCAAATATAACATTCTAACAGCAATTAGGAAATATTTCCTGTGTCTCCTGGAAATGGGAACAGGGAATAGATTTGTGAATGCTCCTAAAAGTGTAGAGTATAGAAAGAAGAAACTTCTCTGATCTATTAAATTAGCAAGAGTACCACAACAATTCTTCACCTAATGTCAGGCATACTGCCAGATTAGCATGTATTACAAATTCCCTTTAAGTATTCTTCTAATAAGCAACCTTTAAAAGCACAAATTTTACATTTCTTTTTTTTTTTTGATGGTCCTGGGGTTTGAACTCAAGGTTTCACCCTTGCTAGACAGGTGCTCTACCACTTGAGCCATTCGCCAGCTCCAAAGGACAAATTATAAAGAAATAGCTTTCCTCCCTTTCTTTCTAAGAAAGAAAAGTAGGGTAGTGGTTATCTGTACCTAGTGAAGGGATGTTTAGTATACTACTTAGCTCCTTTAATTTGTGGAAAATTGATTTTGGCTTATAATAATGTACATACTTTCCTCTGCAAAGAGATTAACTTCTAATTCTACAACTTGGCACAGGCTCTTCACTGAAGTCACTTAACTTTCACCCAGATATATTCTTCATCAGTATTATACCCATTTACATTACTGTCATAATCCACTGTCACTTGCAATTCTAAAAATACATGCTCAAGTGGATTTTGTTAAGTTTTATGTATAATTAAGTCCCTAACACGTATATTCAAAGTAGAGGGGGAAATGGAGGTGAAGCTCAGTGGTAGAGTATACTTAGCCTACATGCAGCACTTGGTTCAATACCCAGTATTAAAAAAAAAAATGGGGCTAAGTGGAGTGACTCAAGCAGTAAAAGTACCTGCCTACTAAGCATGAGGCCCTGAGTTCAAACCCAAATACCACCAAAAATGGGGGTGGGGAGGATTTTGGTTCACAATTATAATCCTTGAAAATAAGACTGCATGCTAAAGGATATTTAATATCACTGACAGGATTGAGGCCTTTCACAAAAATACCTGCCATATACTCAATTTACAAAAGCAACTTGTTAAAGACAAGTTCACTAGGTGATACAATGACATTCAATTCAACAAAATGGTACTACAATTATTTTAAAAGATAGCTATACCCAGATAGGCAGATGATAAGAGAAATTAAATAAACTTTTAACTGCCCTTATGATTTGAAATATCTGGGAATATCAGGCATGAGAAGGGGAAAGAAAAGAAAAGAGCTATAGCAACTATTTCAGCTATCTAGCTCCCTGTCCCCAACACACAGCATAACATAATTATGCCATTCTACCTCTCTTGGTCCCATTGTTAAATTTATTTCTCTATTGGCACTTGGTGAAGAGCAACCAATAAGACAAGAAAAAGTACATAAACACTCACTCAAGAATCCTTTTTTTTTTGCCTAGCTAATTTGAGTTCAAACCCCAGTATCTGATGGGAGGAGGGGTAAAAAAAGAAGACAGAGAATGCTTTTTTTGTTTGGCAAGAGGGCTTTTGGAGGGGGCACTCTGGAAAGCTATTTCATTCACAACTTTTACAAATATGGTTTTCTGGGGGGAGTTTGAACTCAAGGCCTCATGCTTGCTATGCAGATGCTCTAATACTTGAGTTACTCCACCAGCCCTCCTAGGTTTGTTTTAATTTTTGCCTAGGACACCAAAAATTTTATTTGTTTGCTTGCTTATGGGACTGGAGTATGAACTCAGGGCTTCAATTTGCAAAGCAGGCGCTCCATTGCTTGAGTCAAACCTCCAGTTCATTTTGCTCTGGTTATTTTAGAGATGGGATCTTGCAAACTATTTGTCTGTGCTGGCTTTGAACCTCAATCCTCCTGATTTCAGCCTCCCACGTAGGATTACAGAATTACAGCCACCAGCACCCAGCTCAGAAATTTTAATTTAATGCCACTAAGTCTTTGTTTCCTTTAAAAATTTAATTTGTAAGAGTATATAAATCATAACATCCAAATTATAATGTGAAAAATATCTAACGCTTTTGACAATTGTGCCTTTATGCCAGTTATTGAAGTGCTTATAAGGAGTGCTTCTTTAACCTTCATAACGACAATGAACTACTTATTATCCCTAGTCTACAGATGAAGAAACTGAAGCATACAAGGCTAGAGATGAGGCTCAAGTGGAAGAGCACTTGCTAAGCAAGTGTGGAGCCATGAACTCAAACCCTAGTGCTTGAACTTATTCAAAGTACATTAAGTGCATCTATGGAATTATAATGAACCCTCCTTATATTATTAACATATGCTAATTAAAACAGTTTAAAAGGGTGGGAGAGACTAACTGATAAAATATCAGAGTAAAGATTATTACTTAAAAAATATATATATGTATAGGAAGGCCAGAGGTGTGGCTCAAGTGTTAAGAGTGCCTGCCTAGCAACCCAGGATTTTAAACAAAGGAATATTTAAGTTAATGTGTCTCAAGTTTCATTCAATAAAAAGTGGAAATGAAATCTCAAAATATGTATTTGGACCCAGAATCTATGTTATTTATTCATTCATTCATTTATTTGGATGTACTGGTTTTGAAACTCTGGGCCTCACACTTGCTAGGCAGGCACTCTAACACTTGAGCCACTCCACCAGCCCTTTTTTGTATTGGGTATTTTTGAGATAGGGTCTTGAGAAGTATTTGTCCAGGCTGGCCTCGAACCCCCTTCCTCCTGATCTCTGCCCCCTGAGAAGCTAGGATTGTAGATGTGAGTCACTGGCACCCACCTCAGAATCTATGCATTTAACAATGAAACTACACTGCCTCAAGACAGGTATACATTTTTTTTTCCCTTTTCTGTTTTTTCAACCATAGTATTTTCCCCCTTACAATATTTGTAAGGTAATCAATACTCTAAAATTACTGGGTCAAAGGGTTTGGATAATTAAGTCTCTCTTTTTGTGTATGTGTTGCTGGGGAGTGAACCCAGGACCTTAAATATGCTAGGCAATCATTCTACCACTGAGCTACATCCCTAGCCCTTGGTTTTTTGAGATCATGTGTCACTACATAGCCCAGACTGGCCTGGAACTCACAATCCTTCTACTTTGGGCTTCCCTCCACCCAGTGCTGAGATTATAAGTGTTTACCACCACACCCAGCAATTAACTCTCTTAATACATAACCACATACTGTGTTTTACAAGTCTAAAATTCTATCAGTCATATATGAGTGCTCATTTCAGTATACTTTATTAGCATTTGGACTTCTTTTCAAAAGATCTTTGCTATTAAAAAGGTGAAAAATGAGCCAGGCACAGTGGCTCATGCCTATAATCCTAGATACTCAGAAGTGCAAATCAGGAGATTATGGTTCAAGGCCAGCCCAGGCAAAAAGTTAGTAAGACACCCCCCCCCGCCCATTTCAACTAATAAACTGAGCACAGTAGTATGTGCTTGTCATCCCAGCTACACAGGGAGCATAAATAAAGGATAGTGGTTCAGGCCAGTCAAGACATAAAGGAGAGCCTCTTTCTCAAAAATAACCAAATCAATGTGGGCTAGAGGCATGGCTGAAGGGCACCTACCTGTTTATTAAGTGTTAAGGCTCTGAGTTCCAACCCCAATACCGCCAAAAAAAGAAAAGGGGTCTATGACTCTAGCTCAGTAGCAGAGCACTTGCCTTACAGGGCCCTAAGTTCACTGCAAAAAACCAAAAAGTTTTAAGGTGACAAATGGGAAATTTTAACTTTCATTTCTTTATTTTTCTGGTTCCTTTTTGTCTATCTACAGGGATGTGGGTTTTTTGGTTGTGCATGATTTATGTTCTTCCTATCTTAAACATACTAATACATTACCATACCTGATTTTTCTTTTAAATAACTATTTTCACTTTTAACAAAAGCATAGCTATTAAGTTCTTTTCTTTCAAGACTTTTCAGATCAGAAAGTTGAGATCTGAGAAATATTTATTATGGTTTAGTTTTTAATACATCTGTGATTCCGTCTGGGGATAATATTGAGGGATTGTTTAATTTCAAATCAATATGTAAGATAATGTTCATTAACTACATCACTCAGTTCACTGATTTAAAAAAAAAAAAAATCCCTAACCTACTCATGTAATTGGAAGTCTTTCATTACAAGCTTAGCAACTAACTTTCTCTACACGTTTTCAAACTCACAGAACTGTATTAATGATTCCTTTTTGAATTTTATTTTACTTTTTTAATTAGCATACACTGATAACATGAGGAGGCTTCATTGTGATAATCCCATCGATGCACATAGTGTACTTTGAACAAGTTTACCCCCTTTACGCTAATCTTTAAGATGCTAAAAGGAAATAATTTTGTTTTGGTGGTGCTGGGTGATCAAGCCCAGGGCCTTGCACATGCTAAAAAAGAAATCGCTTTACCTCTTAAGCTACATGTCCAGCTTCCCAAAATTTATATTAAGCTGATTGACACAAATGAATCTGTTCCTGATAGAAACCTAAATAAGAGGTGGTGAGACCTTTAACAGTCTGAATACAAATTTCCGTATGTTTTGTTCTTCAAGAATCTAATGTCTGCACCTACTGGGTGCTGGTGGCTCAAACCTATAACCCTAGCTCCTCAGGAGGTGGAGATTACAAGAATCACAACTTGAGGCCCTCCTGGACAAAAAGTTCCAGAAACCCCATCTCAATCAATAAAAAGCTGAGTGTACCAGGTACCAGTGGCTTATGCCTGTAATCTTAGTTATTTCAAAGGCAAAGATCAGAAGGATTGTGGTATCAGGCCAGCCTGGGCAAAAAAAAGCAGAACCCTATCTCAAAAATACTCAATACAAAAAAAGAGCTGGTGTGGCTCAAGTGGTAGAGCACCTGCCTATAAGTCTGAAGCCCTGAGTTCAAATCTCCCTCACCCCCCAAAACTTATGTATTTTAGCGCAAGTATTGTTCTAATGATACTTCTATTTTCTACTTTTTTGTTGTTTATTTTTGTATTTTTATCTAGCATATATCTTCTCCAAAATCCAGGAATCTTAAAAGTTGATCAATTGTTAAGTACCTTCTGCTTTCTGCTCTTAAAAAAATTTCATACCAAGTGCCATTTTGCTATCAGTCTTCCAACTTGTCCTTATATAGCACAATTAACAGACTAATCATCATACCAAGAAATACCTAAGTTTGCAAATCCAACTCTTTCCAGTTGTCTTGAGGTCTGTTTCAGATTAACAAAGATTGCTAAAAACTCTATTTCAGACTATAAGAGGTTGCTCCTCTTAAAAGGAACATGGGAGTAATCTCTAAAAGACAATATAGTTGCTTTATCTTGATACCAAACAACCATTCCTTTACCTTTTGAAATAGTTAGTGCTGGAGACCACTGTGACCGTAGAATATCAAGACAAATGCTGCCATTACTGTTAATATTTGGATGATAAATTCTTGTCGTAAATGCAACCTGTATCAAAAGGAAAACTTTTTGTAAATTGGTTTATTAATATCATACAGAGTACAATAAAAGCAATTATCACATCTCAATTACCCCTCTCTTGAGACCCCCTCCCAGCTCTGGGAGCTCTATTCTATGCTATTTTTCTATCTCAATAAACTCTTCTGCTTTACTCACCAAAAAAAAAAAAAAAAAAAAAAAAAATCAATTACCTTAGGTGGTTTGAAGGGATAATCTGTTGGGAAATGAATTGTCAAGAAAAATACTCCACCCTGATAGGGACTGTCATTCTGTTGATAAGAAAAGTGGGATTAAAATGAGTAAAGTACATAAAATATTTATTCTGAAATTAATATGAATACTTACTGGCCCCATTATTGTAGCTTGCCAATGGAACACTGAAAAAGAACAACAAAAAATTAACATGCAACAATATCCATATTATGCCTATACCATTGGAGCCTACCATTCCCCATCTAATCCAAGTTCATTTTTAAGCACTACAACAATGAGTATGGGCAAGATGAAGAAACCTAACTTGTGAGTCTAAACAGAAAAAAAATTGACTAGAAAGGTCTAGACCATAGATAAGCTGCTCAAAAAGTATTTGGAGTGAGGCATGGTTGCACAGGACTGTAGTCCCAGCATTTGGGAGGCTGAGGAAGAAAGATTGCAAGTTTGAAGCAGTGCAAGTTATATAGTTAGGCCCTGTCTCCAAAAATAATTGGACTAGGTACCTTGAAAAGTCATGTCAGCTAGGTGTTATAGCACACACATGTAATGCCAGTACTTTATAGAGTTGGAGGCAGGAGGACTGTGAGTTCAAGACCAGCCTAGGCCTTAGTTTTTGAAACCCTATCCCAAAAAACTTGGGTCAGAGAGACAAACTTTTGGCAGAGCCCGAAGTGCTACTTTTAAACAATGATTTCCTCACTTCCAAGGGTAAATCATTCCCTCAACACAATTACATATAGTATATTCCTTTTATAATGTAGGAAAGATTGGTTTTTAACAATGAGAAACAAATTCTCATCTCATGTATAGGTTGTTATAATTACTGCCCCCTCAATAAATAAGAAAATATCAAGAGTGGGATTGCAAGTCAGTGGTACAGTACCTTGCAGATTCGATCCCCAGCACCACTACCAAAACACACACACACACACACCCAGAAAGGTCAAGTTTGATTACAAGGGTTAAGAATAATTTAATAAGGAAATCTCTTCAAACTACAGAAAATAGTACTTGTTTCATTTCTAAGGGAGTACTACTAGGTACAATACACAGATCAAAAGACAGTTTATCAAGACAACCCAAACCAGTTAACTCTTGTCACAGGTAGAAATATGAAGACTAAGTAACTACATGAAAATCCACTGGAATGTTGGAATGTCAGTCCAAGTCCTAAAGTTTCTTCGGACCTCTTTAATAGGAAACTGCCTCACCCAGGCACTGAGACAGTCTCAGGCTTGTCATCCTAGCTACTTAGAAGGCTGAGGTTGAGAGGAAAGAGGTTCAAGGCAGCCCGAGCAAATAGTTGGAAAGACTTCTCCAAAATAACCAAGCAAATGGACTGGAGGTGTGGCTTAAGAAATATAGTGCCTGTTTTGTGAGCACCTTGAATTCAAACCCAGTCCTACCAAAAGATAGAAGGGGGAAAAAAGTCTCAATGATTGGTTTGTTCCTTACCAGTACCTAAACAGCAGCCTATTCATTTAAGATGTAAAGATGAAGGACAGCTCATCTCATGCCAGTAATCCTAGCAACAAGGGAAATGGAGATTGGAAGAATCTCAGGAAAAACCGAACTAGCAAAAAAGTGTGAGGCACTAGCTTCAAAATAACCATAGCAAAAAAGGCTGGAGTTGTGGCTTAAGAGGTAGAGCACCTGCCTAGCAAGCGAGAAGCCCTGAGAACCCCAGTCCTGCCAAAAACAAAAAAGGACTAAGGATATAGGTATTACGGAAGCACATTTTCTTAGATTACCCCTCCACAGCACTTTAAAATTTTCTTATTACTTTTAACCAAACATCTTTTTAATGTGGTAAGTAGCTAGGGAGAAAGCCATTTTGAGTCACTAAGATTGGTCTTAGTCTAGTATCTTTAACAAAAGCTCTATGGTATGCTTAAAGTAACAAGTCTCACACTCTGCTTAGCCACAAATATATACTTAATTTGAATAATCAAAACAGTCCGATGACTAGTGTTAACAACCCCCACAAATAAGGCTAAAAGCAGTATTAGACAAAAATGATGACCAACTGAGGAATTTTATTTATTTATTTTGCAGTACTGAGGTTTGAACTCAGGGCCTACACCTTTAGCCACTCCATCAGTCCTTTTTTCTGATAGGTTTTTTCAAGATAGGCTCTGGCAGAACTATTTGCCCAGGCTGGCTTTGAACTGCAATCCTCCTGATCTCTGCCTCCTGAGTAGCTAGGATTACAGATGTGAGCCACTGTTGCCCTGCTGTTTCTCTTATCTTGTTTTTCAATGGGACTGGGGTTCAAACTCCCTCACAAAGCAGGCGCTCTACTGCTTGAGACACACCTCCAGTCCATTTTTGCTTTGATTATTTTGGAGCTGGGATCTTGAAAACTATTTGTCCAGACTGGCCTCAAACCTCAAGCCTCCTGACCTCAGCCTCCCAAGTAGGATTACAGGCATGAACCACTGGTGCCTGGCTCCCACTAACTACTTAAGTACTAATTCTTTTTTCTAGCCTTTTCAAGATCCTTTTCTTGCTAAAAGTACCACCAGACTTAAGAAGGTATTAAGAAAATCTAAATTTGAACAAGTTTTGGCTAACAATAATTCTTTTTTGTGATTACCTATTCTTCCTACTAACAGCAAACAAAGCATATTTTATAATCTAGGATGAAAATCTAGTACAATTATTAAACAATACAGAATCTCCAACAGTCTTGGAGCAGAAATGCTGGCAAGCTGGGTACCAGAATATCTGTAATTACAGAAAGAATATTGTTTGTGATACAGGATAGCAAAGATCAGTATTTCCAAATAATATTGCGATCTCTTTCATATCCATACTCCAAAAATTTGAAGACAATCTGGGGTCTGAACTCAGGGCCTCACGTTTACTAGGCAGGCACTCTACCACTTCAGCCACTCCACCAGCACTCTTTCGATATAAGGTCTCAAACTATTTGTTCAGGCTGGCCTTGAACTGCAATCCTCCTACGGTTGCCTTCCAACTATCTAAGACTACAGGTATGAGCTGCTGGCACCCGGCTATTGAGAACTCTTACAAGCATTATCAATAGGTTATGACATTTGTTTTTTTTTTTTTTTTTGTGGTACTGGGAATTGAACTCAGGACCTTGTGTTCACTAGGCAATGCCTCTACCACTTGAGCCACACCCCAGTCCTCATTTGTAATTTACATTTATTTATTTAGTAAATCTTATCTGTTTAATATTAGGACAGAACTAAACATGCAATTCACTGGCATCAAAACACTAAATAAAACTTGATTCACATTCAAATGGTAAAAATATTAATTTGTCTTCATTGTTAAAAGTTAGAGATCAAATATTGTCATCAGAAAAACATATACCCAGGGCTGCCTTTAAAATAGGACTGGGGAAAAGAAGAATTGCTAATGTAGCAACCAAAATCAATGGTATTTACGACTTTGACAGCACTGGGGGGTTGAATTCAAGGTCTTGTACTTGCTAGATATGTGCTCTACCACCTAAGCCACTTTCCCAGACCTACCATTTAAATCTTAATTGAGCTGGGAGTGTAGCTCCATGCTAGAATGGGTACTTAGCATGTGTAAGTCCCTGGGCTTAATTCCCCAATAAATGAATATATGCATCTTACTTGAATATACTGTCACCCCAGTTAACACAAAAATACTTACTGTAATCCCTGACTTAGGTCTCCCTTTGCAACCCTGTTAGACTTCTAACTCTCTTAGGTGGAAATATGAATAAGGAGAGAAGTCAGTAGAGAATATCCTACCTGCCTCAAATTACAATGGTTTTGTAAACAGAAGATTACTAGGGGTTCCAAGTAGAAAGAACTCCAGAAATAGCTACTGGATGAAATACTGGACCATCCCATAAGCATAAGATATTGCTATATTTTATATGAACATGTAGTTCAACAACCTTTCATGTAAGGATCAATCCTAAGAGTTGGACAAAGTAAAATTTAAGGTACAGTGTTTTGGGGGGGTTGCTTGTTTTGTGGTTTGTTTTTTTGGGTTTTTTTTTTTTTTTTTCAGTACTAGGGATTAAACTCCAGGCCTGACTCATGCTAAGCAAGCACTCTACCACTGAGCCACATCCCAGGCCTGAAACAGCTTTGACAATAAAAAACAAAAACCAAAAAACCTCTACCACCACCTTGGCTGGATGCTGCAAACCAAATTACACAAAATGAAAGTTATACTGTGTTGCATGAGCATTTAAATGTGAAGTTCACAGTTCAATAATTACTCTTTGGCTCAGTGGAGAAAGCCTTATGTTGTCAAGCAATAATAAGATTGTTAATTTGAGGCTAAATCTCCAGGAGACCCACATTCAAACAGATTCAGAGAGTCATTTCATGGGCTGGCAGAGTGGTTAAGGTGTTAGAGATCCTGTCTAGCAGGCCTGAGATCAACAAAAAAAATAAAAAAGATAAAAAATAAATAAAAATCAACAGAAGCTTCAATAACAAAAATTTAAAACTCTCACGTACGTATCTCGCAACTCAGTCCTGCGTTATCGTCAGTTGTGTTTAAATTGTTGCATGATCTGCTGAGTGTTTCCTTGCTCTTAATTTTGTGAAAATACGCCTCTCAAAAGCAAATGGTGCCCAAAAAGCAAAGTAAAAATTAATGTGTTTAATATAAGTGATAAAGTGAAAATTTTAGATTTTTTGAAAGGTGGCATGCCTTTAAGCAAAGAGTGGCAGTAATATGGGAAAATGAATCAAGTATTCACAGTACAGTAATTGAACTCTATTAATCCTGAGCATTCACAGTTTTTCTCTTCAATGATCATCTCTTCGGAACCCATATACCCAAGGGACACCAATGCCACTGTACAATTTTCTGGGTCCTTATGTTTTATTAGGATGATTATGAGCTTTTCTTTTTTTAATCTTTTTGACAGTAATTCAACCGCAAATGGTCTCAAACATCCACAAAATTTTTAAGTATAATATTTTGCAGCAAACTGCCTAGGTGACCAAGTTTAAGGAAGTTATACTATTCCTAGGAGATTATCCTTAATTTCTTTAAGAAAATAGATACTGTTGGTGACTCAGAATTTGAATCAAGATACTCATAAATTGAATAAGAAGACTGAGAATTAACCAGAGATTTTCTTTTTTGATGATACTGTGTTTTGAATTCAGGACCTCACACTTGCTAAGCAGACATTCTGCCACTAGCTACATACATGCCCAGCCTCTTTTTCCTGTTGGGTAGTTTCAAAGTAGAGGAGTCTACCAAACTACTTGCTCAGGCTTACTCTGAACCTCAATCTTCCTCCATCATGGCATCTTGAGTAGTTGGGATTATAGATGTGAGTCACCGGTGCCCAGTGCCAGAGACTTTTTTTTTTTAATGTGGTGCTTAGAAATCCAACCTAGGGCCTTGCTCATGCAAACCACTTTACCACTGAGCTATAATATCACTGGCCCCAAGATGATGAGGAGGAAGATTATTTGTGGTGCTGAGCATTAAGTCCAAGGCCTCACACATGCTAGGCAATCACTCTTACCACTGAGCTACTACAACCCCAAACCTAAGATTATTATTTTAAACAGCTTTACTCAGATATAATTCATACACAGACATAGTTGTACAATAATCAGTATAATCAATTTTAGAACATTTTCATTGCTCCCAAAAAAGACCCTATACACAGTAGCAATCATTCCCCATTCCCCCAAACTTCCAGTCCTATGAAACCATTAATCTACTTTCTGTCTCAATGGATTTGTGTCTGCCGGATAGTTTAAGTGCATGGAAGCATTCAGCATGCAGTGTTTTAGGTCATGATCCTCTCACCTAACATGTTTTCAAGGCTCATCCATGTTGCAGTACTCACCAGTACTTTACCCCCCCTTTTTTCTTGGCGGTACTAGGTCTTGAACTCAGGACCCAACTTGATAAGCAGGTACTTTACCACTTGAGCCACATTTCCAGCCCAACTTTATTCCTTTTTATTGTTGAATATTCCATTACAGGGCTGGAAGAGTGGCTTCAGTGATAGAGTGCTTGCCTAGCAAGTGTGAGGCCAAACCCCAGTGCCCCGCCCCCATCCCCACTTCTGTGGTCCCAGAAGTGCACCACCACACCTGGCTTATTTGTGGAAGTGGGGCTTGCCAATAACTTTTTGCCCCGGTTGGCCTCAAACTGCAAACCTCCCTAGTATCAGGGATTACAGGCATGAGCCTTTGCACCCAGGTCATTCATTCCTTTTTTCCAAGGTAGGGTCTCACTATGTAGTCCAGGCTGGCCTCAAACTCTCAATCCTCCTGCCTCAACCCACCAAGTGCTGAAATTACAGGTGTGTGACCCCACACTCTGTGTATTTTTATCTCTTTCTTAATTTTATAGTTTGCAGAACGTAAGGTCTTAATTTTCATTTATCTATTTATTCTTTGTGTTTTGGGGAAGTTTTATTTAACTCTTCAGGGTAACTCTTTTTTGCTCTGAGAAAGGAATGCAATAATGCAAACTATAAGTAGCAGCAAAGAAAAGACAAATTATTTTTACATGCTAAAGAAAACTTCAAAAATGAAATCTAATCCTCAGATTCAGATTACTTTTAGTTGGAAGATTTTTCAGCCACTCAACTTTTAGGAATTCACCTAAAACAAAACCACTTTTTCAAATGAATGGAAAGCGCTCTGACACAGGTGGATCATAGATTACTGTGGAATGACAAAACTATAACCAGAAAAACTGATAATGAGTCCATTTCAGGAATCTCCATAAGCCTCTCATGAGACTCTTTTTTAAGATAGTATAAAAGTAGAGACTTTATTCACCTAACTAACCAAAGGTTATTTTGAGGCTTAAATAAGATGTTTTTACCAGCATGTAAATCAATTTGTATGGTTTAAGTGCATGGCCTGTCCTGTTTGGTACTAACTATGGAAGTTATTCATTTGGACCATTCAGAATGTAATATAAAATGAGATTTCTCATCAAGTATTCTTAGTCTCATAATTTATAATATTTATCTGTTTTGTCTGTAAAGCAATCATCATAAAAGGGATTGTTAAGAAGTTAAAAAACCAGAAACAGCCAGACACCCATGGCTCATGGCTGTAATCCTAGCTGCTCAGGAGGCAAAACCCTATCTTGAAAAAACCCATCACAAAAAAGGGCTGGCGGAGTGGCTCAAGAGTGCCTACCTGCCTACCTAGCAAGGGTGAGGTCCTGAGTTCAAACCCCAGTACCGCAAAAAAAAAAAATCAGAAACAAATCCTTAAGAATTCATTACTAGTCTTAATCTATACATGTTCCTTTTAAAGATCATCCCATTTTTATTTTATTTTGGTTGTTTATTAAGTTTTGTGGTACTGGAAATTGAATGCACAGGCTTGCATATGGCATGCAAGCCCTCTATCACTGAGCTACATCCCCAGTCCTATTTTGCTTTTTTGAGACAGAGTTTCACTATGTAGCTCAGGCTGTCCTGGAACTTGTTATGTAGAAAAGGGTAGTTTTAAACTTTCAATCCTCCTGCCTCAGTCTCCCAAGTGCTTGCCTAATTGATATGATGTAAATACATTTAATTAAGTAAATAATTATATCTGCTTTTGCTAGTATAAGGCAATCTAAAGACAGTCATACCATGTCATCCTCAGTATTTATCCTTCCAACTTAAAGAACAAAATGTAAAGTGCCTGCCAAGCAAGTGTGAGTTCAAACGCCAGTATACCATAAGAACAAAACAACTAGGTAACAGCTCAAGTATTTCACCCCAGGAAAATACTCAGAAAGAAGGACAAGTAAGAAGGGACCAAAATGGCTACAAAGATAATGCCTGGTAGAAGAGGTTCAAAATATAATGAACAACACAGAAGATACAGGTACTTTTATGGGAAACTAAGAGTAAACAAAGAGTAAATATTCACTTTTCCCTGTATTAAATGATCTTCATACAAAATAACCTTAAGATACACACACACACACACACACACACACACACGCACGCACGCGCGCGCATCCCAGGGTTTCCCAGAGACAGAGTGTTACCCTGTTATTTACTTCATAATTCTTTTTGATACTTACTATCATCTCCAACAGGACCTGCTGAACACTGTGCTGGAGGGTCCCTTGCAAGGTCATTCAATTCCTTAAAAAAAATAATCAAAGAAATTTATTCAACATAAATATAATTTTACATTGTTACTAAATTTACATTGTTACCCATATTCTCTTAGTGGTGAAGCTCCTGTAGAATCAGTCCTTCATAGTCAAGAAGACTATCAATCTTTAAACTGAAGTATTTTTGATTCTTGAATGCCAATGTGTGTTTTGTAAAGTAGGTAGGGGTTAGGGGTATAGAGCAGCTGCTTAGCAATCCCCAGCACTGGGTGGGGCATGTTTGTTCAGAACTGAGTAGGTAAATATGATAACGTAAAAAGGCGTTATGTACAAAAGCCACAAAAGTTGTTTGGTTCCACCCCCACCCACCACGTGGTGAAGATGGAACCCAGGGCCTCCCACATGATAGGCAAGCATTGTACCACTGAACTACACCTCTATCTCCTGAAACTGTTGTTTGTTTTTGAGATAGTCTCACCATGTTGCCCAGGCTGGCCTTGAACTCCTGAGCACTATCCTCCCATCTAAACTTCCCAAGTACTGGCAATACAGGCATGTGCCCCTGTACCCAGTTCCCCAAAACTGTTTTTCTTTTTTGCAGTGCTGGGGTTTGAACTCGGGGCCTACACTTTGAGCCACTCTGCGAGCACCCTTTTTTTATTTGTGATGGGTTTTGTCAAGATGGGGTCTCATAAACTATTTGTCAGGGTTGGCTTCGAACCACAATCCTGCTGATCTCTGCCTCCTGAGTAGCTAGGATTATAGACATGAGCCACTGGTGCCTGGCTGCTTGTTTTGATTTTGAGACAGGATCTCCTGTAGTTCAGGCTGGCCTTGAACAAATGATCCTTCTGCCTCAGCCTCTCAAATATTAGTGTGCTACCATGCGTTCATCGATTGTATTTCCTTTTTCAAAAAAAAGATTCAATACCAATTTTTGTACCACAAACTATTCAGGACAAACTCCTAAAGTGATAAATATTCCAAAACTATACTGGACCATCTGGTAAGATCTTGATATGTTTTCAGCTGATGTCTACTATCAGGGTTCCAAAGGTAATAGACAAAACCTTTTTTTAAAGCCAGGCACTGGTAGCTCACACCTGTAATCATTCTAGCTACTTGGGAGGCCAGCTCAGACAAAATGTTCACAAGAATCTATCTCAACCAATTGCTGGGTACAGTGGGGTGAACCTATCATCCCAGCCTCAGCGGGAAGCATAAAATAGGAGGTCTGAGGTCCAGGCTGGCCTGGGCAAAAGTGAGACCCTGTCTCCAAAGTAACTAGAACAAAAAGGGCTGGAGGTGTAGTGTAGCCTGCCTGACAAGTGTCAAGGCCCGTGTTCAAGCCCTGAGTTGAGAACAAAGAAAGACTTAAAAAGGATATATCAAAAGGGCTGCTAAAATAATAAAACCTACCATAAAGCTATATAGTCAGAGACTGCTCTACCTGTAGTAATCCTCCATAATCAGATGTCAGCTTCTTAGCTATTTTAACACAGTAGTCCACAAACTAGAAGCCTAATAATGGGTGGGATGCCAGAAAAATCGTAAAAACATCATACAACTTTCGCCGTCTCCTCAGCTTGGTTTTGCTTTATTTTCTTTTGCAGCACTGGGACAGAACCCAGGGCCTGGCACATGCTAGACAACTACCACTTAGCTATACTGCCAGCTCCTGTCTTCTTTTTTGAGATTAAAAATAAGCTTGAAGGATGGCCTAGTTTTATAATATATATTTCTTTTTTTTTTTTTTTTTTTAGGTAGTACTGGGGCTTGAACTCAGGGCTTCGCAGTTGCTTGGGCCACTCACTCCTCTGGTCTTAGAATATATTTTTAAATTGTTAACAGTAAAATCTAATATTTTTAAAATGAGATAAAAACTATGTACACTCTTATTTTTAAGTTTGCAGCACATATTATTGTAAGTTCCTTTCTCAGAGTTTATTTAATTAATTATTTTAGTATATCAATTAAGCTGTTTTATCCTGCATATAAAGATGGATTACAAAGCAAAAAGCACAAAAAAAAGGTGGTGGTGGTTTTATTGGTTTTTTTTTTTTTTTTCTTTTTGCAGTACTGGTGCTTGGACCCAGAGCCTCATGCCTGTTAGGCAGGTGCTCTACCACTTGTCCCACTCTGCCACCTCAGATAAAGATTTAATAATATTTACTTTCTCAAGTATCTCAGTTTTTGGATTTTGTACCTTCCTACAGATTTCTTGCTCATCTGAGAGGGCTGGCTGTCTACTGCACAGTCCCCATTCTGTTTGCAACACAGGTCAATGTAAGTGAGAATACTTACTTGCAATGGGTTGCTATTAAAATATAATTTGAATTTAATAAGCTATTCTGAAATTCTGCTGTGTTCATTAAACAGTATTTTACTTCAGATTTAGTCTTAATCTTTTGCTTTCAAATTGAGTTACTTTTTTTCATCCTAAATGACAGAGGACTAACCTAAGTACTAAGATTTATCTAAGCTGAACGTAATATCCATCAGTCCATTTCATGATCCAGTATGATACAATTAATTTTTAAAAATGTAACCCAAATGCAGGCTAATAGACATTTAATACACCCATTCAGCACTTCCTTGGTTCAAAGCAGGTATGGATTAATCTCAAAAGCATACGCTAAGTGAAAGAAGCCAGACATAAAAAGATACATTATCGCGGGGCACCAGTGGCTCACGCCTGTAATAATCCTAGCTACTCAAAAGGCAGAGATCAGGAGGATCATGGTTCAAAGCCAGTCAGGGCAAATAGATCCTGAGACCCTATCTTGAAATACCCATTACAGAAAAACGGGTGGTGGAGTGGCTCAAGGTATAGGCCCTGAGTTCAAGACCAGTATGGAAAAAAAAAAGGAGACATTATCATGATTTTGGTAGAAGTTGCACAAATGCAGGCATATTTGTTAAAACTCAAAATTGTTGAATTTTACTGCATGTAATACATATCTTAAAGTTGCTTGTTTTGTTTTTTGTACTGGGGATTGAATCCAGGGCCTCTTACATACTAGGCAAATTGCCTACTACTGAGCTACAACCCCAGCCCTCAAAATTATGTTTTTTTTTTTTTAATGAGGTTTTAAAATTTGGAATACTTTTATTACAGTTAGAGAAAAATTGCAAAGACAGCTACTGCTAGCGCCTCCCTCACTCACATTATCATGGTATGTTTGCCAAAACTAAGAAACTAATACTGGTGATTACTAACTCAACTCCACACTGTATTTTCCCAATAATGTCCTCTTTTTGTGCCAGCATCCCACAGTACAGTTACAGTACATAGTACAGTTAACTGTCATGTCTCTTTTGTTTCTTCTGGTCTGTAAGTTTCTCAGTCTTTGCTTTTCATGACCTTGACAGTCTTAAGCATATTGGCCAAGTGTCCTGTAGAATGTCCAACCTACATGAGTCTGATTTTTTCTTTTTTTAAATTTTTCTTTTGGCAGTACTGGGGTTTGAACTCAGGACCTTGTACTTGTGAGGTAGGAGCTCTACCACTTGAGCCATGCCTCCATCACCAATGTTTTTCTTATGAATACTCTTTTTTTATTATTGTTTTACTATTCATATGTGCATACAATGCTTGGGTCATTTCTCCCCCCTGTCCCCCAAAATTATGTTTTTTAAAAGCACATAACCATGATGGGGTGTAGCTCAGTGGCAGACCACTTGTCTAACATGTACAAAGGTCCTGGGTTCAAGCCCCAGCATCACCCCCCGGGGGGTGGGGTGAAAGACACATTACTACCCATCTTTATATGTCTCTACATCCAGATGAAAACTGAAGTCAAATCTTAAAATTATTTAATAAAAGCACTGATGAAAACAGAACACAAGGGCAGGAAAAAAAAGTTGTTTTATTTAACAGTTGGTGTTATCATTTGGGCATATGCCTATACATTAATTTTTGTACTTTCTATTTTAAGAAAATAGAATTCAAATTAGTCTTATATATTATATAGAAAATTCTAAATTACTGGGTCTGAGGGCAGGACTAGGACAAAATCCAAAAACTAGAAATTAGTCTGGTTAATAATA